TTTTAAGTGGGAGAACTTGCACAATTGGTGCCTGACTAAATACTTTTTTGCCCCACTGTATGTGTGCGTGACACACACACACACATACACACACTGGATTTAATTTATAGCAGCTGTATATTTAAACATTAATTTATAACAATACTGCAACATATAAAAACTTATAAAAATGCAGTCACTGTCAACTTTAGGGTAAGGCAGGCAGATGGATGATTGATGGCCAGAAGCCACAGTTTGCTCTTAAGATCACAGGGATCTATCCAGTTATGTTACCAGAACAGATGATGCTGGAAAAAAGTTTGGTTCATTTCTTTTTGTGTAACGGTATGAATGGGAACAATTCACTTCCCGAGGACCTTGCACTCCCATTCCCATTATTTTCATCTATTTTCAACTGCTAAATTTTAGCAGTATAATCTCAGGAGGCCATAAATGAAATGATGGAAGGACATGGGTTGCCTATACTTGGGGTAAAGTTTTTTTTAGCTATTCAGCCCTGCACTCACAATTGGCAGAAAGTTCTTTTTTAGTTTGACACTAATTTTAGCTTATATTGGTGCCAGGTTAACATTCATATTCCATGGCTTGGAAAGTACCACTAAATAGAGAATTTAGAGAATCTATTACAAGTTCAGAAAATCCAGAGTTTGTTCATGGTATAATCAGATGGATTTTGCAGCATATCTCATATTAAGAGCAGAAGGGGGCAGTGGGACTCCTTTAGATCACTACAGGTAGTCCTCATTTAGTGGCTGCAGTTGGTTCTGGTGAAATGGTCACTAAGCAAACCATTGGACTGAGAGATGCTGGGAAGATCACTGGTTGCTGCTGTCTGGTTCAGATAGTTCTAGTGTCCTGTGTCTAACCTTTTTTTTTTTCTTTTTTTGCCCTCTTGCAGGGTAGAGAGATTGCTTAAAGAAGCTATCTCTTCTTGATAGCTGCTTTTCTCCATAGTGCAGTGCTTCCCTAAAAAGTGCTACGGACAAGTTAACTCAGCTCTGTGACCTTAATTAGTTTGAATAGAACCCTTCTAGGGCTGGCAGCTGCTGCCTGAAATTGACCAGACCTTAATCAGTTTCACACTGAAGGCTTTTGTTGTCCTAAATGCAGGCCTTGGTCACAAAGTTACTTTTCTGTTGTAATTGCCAAGGCAGTCACTAAACGAGGACTACCTACAGTGGGGCAAAAAAGTATTTAGTCAGCCACCAATTGTGCAAGTTCTCCCACTTAAAAAGATGAGAGAGG